TCGCCGAGAATGTGCCATAGGCTTTCGACCACGGGAGTGTTGTTGCGGCTGATGCGAGAGCGAAAGAGACACCAAGCCAGGGAACAAGGTCAACGCGCTGATAGGTCTCTACAACTTTGGCTTGGACGTTGGCGACTACAGTGTTGTCCAGAGCGTAGAGGAACAGGGCAGAGAGAAGGGCGCAGACAACTAGGAACCACTATTAAGAGTTAGCAAACTTCTAACAAGTCCGCAATGGGGGTCTTTGGTGCATACCTTGACACCATGAACATTTCGAGGAGAAGGGTCTGGTGCTGGCTTTTCAACCTGGGGTTCCCTGAGGGCTTCATTGCCTAACGACTCAGGGCCCGGAGATGGAGACAATCGAGACTCGTCCGAGCTGTGCCCGGACTGTTTCTCTTGAGTAAAAGACATAGTGAAGAAGAGTATTAAAATTTTTACAAGATTAAAGATTCTAAGGTTATAACGCTAAAAGATACTGTTGAACGATGAGATATAATTCTAACGCTAGGTCGTGATCTGGGGTTATGTATTTCTGATGCTGTGGAGAAGCATAAAAGTTTTCATATTTAATTTTGTAATTATCATAACTAACAACCGGTTTCAGCAGGCATGAAACGAGGCTTAGAAATTGCGTAGAAAACGATGGAAAACATCAAAAGTGAAGGGATTCAGAACCCTGCCAGTCTGGCCCTATAGGGTAAAGAAAACAGGAACAAGACGACACGAAATCCGGCCCGTACCGTAACGTTACAGCACACTGTGTGGTATTCGCAAGGGGTTTAGCCTGAAAATGGAATTTGTACCCCGTTGACCAGGGGTCGGGTGCATACGCGAGGCGATGGAGGGGCTCGGGGAAATCGCGTGATTGTGAGCTAACACTAGCTGCCGCAATTGCATCTCAAGATCTCTGGATGTTGTCTAGGTTGTTAAGGATATTCTCCAGAAGGCTGCGGACTAAAGTGATGCACGTCAGGGATATAAAGTTGGGTCTTTGGACCAAGAAACTAGCCAGCGCAAACAATACTCAGTTCAATTCAAGCACTTGACTCTCGTTGCATTCCAGCTTTCGACTACCATTCTCTGCCAAATGGCTGCCATTACTCAAATTCAATCTTCTGACGGCAAACCAGCCTCTGTGGGATTTCATTACTCTAAACAAGAACAAATTCCACCAGATTCTATCGGCGTCGATCAGATTCTGGTATCCTTTATCTTCTCCCCAATCAACCCCCAAGACCTCCTCGTACTTGCAGGTCGCTACCCAGTCAAACCGCTGCATACCCTAGACAACGAGCCTGTTCTGGGCTATGACGGCGTGGCTTGCGTCGACGCAGTGGGTCCTTTGACCAACCCAGAGCAGACCCACATTCGGCCCGGAGACTTTGTTGTTCCGCGTCGACATGGTATAGGAACCTGGAGAAGCCAAGCTGTTCTTAGCGTGACGGATGTTATTCCCTTGTCGCCCACGAAGGATCTGCTTGGCGCATCTCTGTTGCGCATGGCGTTTCTGCCCGCTTACCTCCTTGTAGAGGATATGCGTGACTTGAAGCCTGGTGATTGGATCATTCAGAACGCAGGTTCTGGAAACATCGCGAGGCTTGTAGCGCAGTTTGCACGTCTCAAGGGTGTTTGTACCTGCAGCGTCGTGCGTGATCGGGAGGGTAGCACTTTCGATGCTCTCAAGGCTGATCTGCAGAGCCAGGGCGTTGAGATCGTGATCACCGAAGACGATCTCGCTAACCACGGCACCCAGGCTTCGGCAGAACTCGCGGATGCTGCTGCCAAGGGTCGTATCGTGCTCGCCATCGACGCCGTCTTTGGTGAATCCGGTGAGAGACTTGCAAATGTCCTTTCTCACAGTGGAACATATGTCAACTACGGGTCTCTCGGCGGCGCAAGTGGAACCATTGGCCTGTCCCAGCGTTTGCTGTTCTGGTCAGAGGTCAAGTTTCGGAACTTCCGACTGTCTGAACAGCTAAAGGCTCGGACTGCAGCAGAGCAGGAATCTCTCCTGCTGTGGTTCCAGGACCTGCTTTCTCAGGGACTTTTGCGTACGCCACCTGTGGAGACTATTCAGGTTCCTTGGGCTGTTGAAGGCAGGGATGAGTTTGAGAGGCATGTGAAGGAGGCTGTTACTGCAGGTCCTGGTGACAAGGTGGGACGGGTCAAGAAGGTTTTGCAGTTTGGTAGGATCTAGCTGCATATGCGCCTTGCGAGGCTCAACGCAAGTGGTGGGTAGTTGGATTAGGTAGTAATGTAACCCTTTCATGCAAGCAGAAATCTTTTACGAGTTGTCACATATAGTGAGATTGCGTCATGTAGTGTGCATATTGTCCAACACTGAAAGGGGTAACAATGCTTGCTGATAGCTAAGTCCTCAGCTCATTTTGGTATAGTATGTGAGAAATAAAAATGTGTCACAGGAATTGAGTTCTAATATGTTACATAGATGCCTTGGACTACCAGCTTTCACAGAGCAGTATATTTGGCTCGTGCGTCTGGGTCCTTAGGACTGATGTTCCTAAATGAAAGAAGTACTAGTCCAGGCTTCTGTTATCTAGAAACCATAGCACAGGCAAGCTCTTAGGCAAAGGAAGTTTTCTCAAGATATATAAATACTAAATATTATAAAAGTAATAAAATGCTTTTAATAAATTATATCTTTATAGCTACTTAATAAGCAATATATAATTTCACTATAATAAGAAGCCTTAAGTTAATATTATAAGTTATAATTACTTATTGATTTATTTATTTATTTATTTATCTTTTTTATATTATAAATTCCTATTGAAGAGACTTAAGTTAATATGTAATTTATTAGTATTTTAACTTTATATATTTCATCTAGACATTATGGCATACTTAAATATACTAACCGCGCTATTCTAATTAACCTTATGCGAAATCTACTAAGTTCTCTTTTTCGGCCACAACTCTCAACTGCAAATGAGTTTTGGCCCACTTCAGTTTTCAGCATTTATTAACATTGGTCTGGGCAGAATGCTACTGCACATAGTAACAAGAGGCAAGCTGCAAGAAAACAAAACTTTTTAAGATATATAAATAATAATTAATTTTATCTACACTAAGGCTTCCAGTCACCTAGGTCTCCTTCTTTGCCTGCTGCTCTCGCTCAATAGCTGACGCATTGTACTTGCGCAGAATGTCCAGCAGGCCAGGGATAGGCTCATCAAAATCAATCTTCGCACTATTCATGAACCTAGCCAAGAAACCGTAAATACCATTGAGAAAGAAGATCTCAGTAATTTCCTCATGACTGAAAGCCTTCAAAGCCTCATCCATGACCTCTTTGCTAACATGAGGCTGGCGGCTGAGCTCTTCAACAATGCGAGCGATCAATCGCTGACGCGGAGTAAACAGGCTCTCAGGCAATGGTTCTTTGGGGTTGCGAAGAGCCGCGAATTGTTCCTCAGAGAGACCGAGGACGCGGGCAACAGGCTCGTTAACATCCCACTCGTAGGGGGCATCAAGAGTGGCTGCTGTACGTAGAACAGTGGTTTGCCATTCAGAAGGGAGAATCTTTCGGTTCTCGCTCCAGCTGGAGGAAAGGAGTGTCATAAATGGTTTGAAGAACACGTTGCTGTTGGCGAGGAGCTTTGAGAGCCAGTTAGCCTATTGTGTTAAGGCTTCGTAAGGGGAGGGCCGACCTACCTTGAAGATGTTCCTCTCGAATGGTAGAGTTTGCAGCGCTGCCTTGATGTCTGGCGGTGCAGTGTTGGAGTCGACGTAAGGGAGCAAGTGCTCGTTGGTGACAACGCGGTTGTCCCAAGAAGCCATTTTTGACAATGAAATGAAAAAGATGGAGGGAAGTTTGCAAAAGAGCTGGAATGATTTCTCGTGATTTGGTTCGAATTTGCTGTATTGACTTTGAGAAGTGTCTGTGAAAATCCCTATATATATAAAAGTACTATGTGAGACATGATGTAACGTTACATTCATCTGCCATAACAGCAATCACATCGAGGTCAACATATCACTAAAAGTCAGACTTTTTGAGTATCATAGCCTTGTCTTGGCCTGTGTCGCATACGAAAACCCCTTGTTCTCAGCTCATCGGAACATTTCCTGCCCAGTACAACAAACACTGTGTAAGATTAGCGTCGCCTCGGAAGCGGGCCGCTTCTAGCACATTCTCTAGCTGCATGTCGCTAAAGTGTGACAACCCTCGGGATGAAATCAATGCAGTCACATTCTTAAAACCTTTAAACATGATGTATATGCACGATTTGGGAAACGTTTTTTCGAGATGCAGGCTTCGATCTTGCTTCTGAGTGTTTCGAAGGATTCTGATCCTTTACTTGCAACCCACCACCCCTTTCTGCAATTGTGCAGCTGCATATCGCCACTTGTGAAACACATCTTAACGGAGCCGCAATTACGAACGAGTAATTGAAAGGATTGAGGATGCAGCCGCTGATTCAATGACTACCTTGTTAGGTCTTCGATGCAACCCTCGTGGCGTCAGTGAGACTGCATAGATCGTGGGGGTCGTAGTCGAAAGCCCTGTTCAACCCGAATACTACATCCAGTACATGCATCATCGCCACTTCCAGAAAGGCATAGTCCGCGTCTTACACCAGTTTTGTGAGGTTATTCCCAAACGATTTGAGTAACGTATAGTAAGAAACGTATGACGAGATGTGTTCTACTCCTTGTACGGCAGGGAATCCAATCCTTCGGAACAACGTTCGGCATTGCCGCTCTGCTTACTTGCAGATACTTGCAGCAGACAAGGCAGTTGAGCCGGAGTCCTTGTGTCACCACCTCGGGATGTGAAAGAATTTCCCAAAGGTATGAAGGAAAGAACTGAAATAGAGATCATCGAAAGATATTTAGTATAAATATGGGAACAATCTTATAAAACAACTATCAATTTCATATCACAAGCATATCATCCTCATAGATCAAAGCACTTAGACTAATATTCATACCATCTTTTGGTAACCCCCTAAATACGCTAATAATCTTCCATCATGAAGCTCTACCACCACGTTGAGAAGCATGGGGACTTCTTCCTCCCCTACCAAGACGGTCTCAGTCTCAAGCCTATCGAAGCCCTGGTGAAGCACGAGAAAGACATGGGCTTTTCCGATGTTGAGACTGTCCTTCCTGCGACAGAAGTCCAGAAGGATATTCTTAAGGAGGATGTCCAATGGGCTGAAGCAGTGCTCTTCACTGGAAAGACCTCTGCCTTAAGCTCTGAGAAAGTCCTTGATGTATGGAGATCCTTGGCATATCACTGTAAGTATTACATTTTCTGATCAAAATTCATATGAAAGTGGTTACTAACCTTTGGACTAGATATATGTCTTCGATCTTGCATTACCAATGGACCAACGCCAAAAGTCGTGGTCCAGCGATGCATCGAGCCTGTTCAATGGCGCCGCCCTGAAAAAGGGTTTGAAAAACTTCATCGAGGCTCAGCATTCCTGACGGTTGAAGCCAACAACCGTTCTGACGAGATCAATCTCGTCCTTCACTTCCATCGGGCCCTGATTGATACAACCTCGCTTCACACGCTCAGACTCGATTGTCTTCTTCAAATCCATGGTATTCCTGGTATCGAAAGCACTGGCTTTACCGCATACACACGATACCTCGCACAGAAGCGCAAGGACATCGCCTCATCCAAAACCTTCTGGTCCAAGACCCTTTCAGACATTGCTCCCCAGTCAATCTTTGGTCTTGAACCTGACGCTTTGGATGGTTTCAACCAGGATAGACACGGTGTCAGTGCTGTGATCCAGGGCGCAGAGCTAGCAACGCTAAATAGCCTTGAAAAGTCTCGCGAAGACTCAAAGTCATGGCGCCAGACGTTCCTTGAAGCAATTTGGGCCCATGTCTTGAGCGCCCACTCCGACTCTGAAGAAGTTCTTTTCGGAACTGTGCGCCGAGACGCAAACTTTGTGGGCGCAGACAATTGCGTTGGGTGCCTTGACCAGACCTATCCCGTCCGACTGCGCGTTCCCACTGGCGAAGATGCAACTTTCTCTGACATTTGCGACTCCCTGGACAATTACCATACGGAAGCCGGTCGTCACGCATTCGTCGGCTACACTGGAATCGAAGAGCAGGCAACAAATGGCATGCTGATCGAAACAGCCGTTAGCTACAGCCCGACAACCAACACACCTTGCATCGCCCCAAGCTTGCGGAAGTTCCCCGTCGTATTGTGCATCAACGATGCCAGCGTGTTACAACTCGCTATTAAGTGCACAACCAAGATCCCACTGGAGAAGGTCGAATTGGTGTTTAGGCACTTTGTTTCGGCGATCTTCAGTGCCGCCAAGGGCTTGAGCGCAGTGGACAAGTTCCCTCTATCCGACATCCAGCTCGTCTCGGATGCTGAAAAGCGTCTCATTCTATCACGATCCGTCAGCACCCGAAAGGTGCAAGCTACGACTATTCCTGCTTTATTTGAGAAGACTGCGGCTCAATACCCTCAACGAGTCGCAGTTGATTTTCAGGGCGACGCTAGCCTCACCTTCGCCCAGCTTAACAGCTTTTCCAACCAACTCGCGAGGAGGCTGAGGCTTCAGAAGGGTGCTGTCTATCCGATCTTGGCTGACAGGTCTCTAGAGCTGGTCGTGGCTATCCTGGCGGTTCTTAAGGCTGGGTCAGCGTATACTGTGCTTGATCCAGACTTCTCAGTCAGTCGCCTCGAGCAAGTCGTCAGCGACTGCAATGCAGCAGCGGTTCTGTCCACTCGCAGATACATGAACATGCTCCCCAACACTGTCAATATTGAACAGGATTACGCGCGACTACGTACTGATGCCGCAGAGTCACTCGACAATACTGATGGTATTGGCGTACACGTTGAGCCGCAAGACCGCTGTTACATCATCTACACATCTGGTAGCACAGGAAAGCCCAAAGGTGCAGTACTCACTCATGAGGCCGCCACGAGTGGGATGCAGCACCACTCTCTGAACGGGCTGAACCGGTGGCTTCTCTTCTACAACCCAAGTTTCAGCGCTGCTCAACGTACCATCTTGAGTACTCTTGTTAACGGTGGAACACTGGTGCTGGCACCCAAGGAAGAACTCACTCGGGATCTCGCGGGAGTCATTAATCGGCTTTCGGTCGATGCCCTCGGAATTACTCCTTCTGCCCTCTCTCTTTTGTCGCCCAAGGATATTCCAAGTCTCAAGAGTATTACCCTCGTGGGTGAGCAGACTCCTCAAGAGCTTGTGAACACTTGGTCTTCCGTCAAGGGTCTTACACTGAGAAATACGTATGGCCTCAGCGAGTGCACGCAACTCAACTTTGGAAGACCGTTGGCCGCAGTGGGTGGTCAAGTCCCGAACCCTCGCATACTGGACCCGCCAATCGACACCACGAGCGTCTTCATCCTTCGTCATGGTAGTACTGAGCTCTCACCACTGCTCGTATTCGGTGAACTGTGTCTCGCCGGTCCACAGCTCGCCCAAGGCTACATCAACGAGCCAGGACTGACTGAAAAAGCATTCGTCGCGAACCCATTCGGTCCTGGAAAGCTTTACCGGACTGGTGATAAGGCTCGATGGCTTCCCAATGGTCAGATCGAGATTGAAGGACGTGTCGATATGCAAGTCAAGATCAATGGGCAAAAGGTCGAGCCTGCCGAAGTCGATCGTCTTCTAGTATCGCTTGACGTGATCAAGGGAGCTGTGACGTTTTCTGTCAAGATGGAAGATCGTCAAATCCTGGCCACTGGTGTTGTTCTCGATGACGGATCTTCTTTCAGAGATGCTGTCAACTCGGCGAGGAACCATCTTCGTGCCAACCTACCAGTTTTCATGACGCCAACTCTTTGGATTCCCATTGAGTTGGTTCCTAGAAATGGAAACGGGAAGCTCAACTATCACTTGCTGCGAACTAAGGCAAAAGAGCTCGGCTTTGCTGGCTTTGCCAAGCTCATGGAGCTGGGCGACGAAGAGAATATGGACGAAATCCTCAACGATGTTGAACAAAAGATTGCATCAGTATGGGCAGAATCTCTCAAGATTGACCGATCTGTCATTCGTCGATCTCATTCTTTTACCGACCTTGGCGGGACTTCCATTGAGGCCATCCGGGTTGTGTCAGAGCTACGCGAGCACGGTCTAGCGACTGAACTCGGTGACCTGTTGGCCTACACCTCTCTCAGCAACATTGCATCTCGATCTCAGACTGTTTCAATGGAGGATGAGCAAGACCCGAAGCCCTTCTCACTTCTTCAGGACGAGAAGCTGCTTCAAGACTTGCCGGTGAGCGGCGATATTAGCGACGCCTATCCTGTCACACCCTTCCAAGAGTCCATGCTGGTGTCAGTCAATTCGCCCTCAGATCCATACACCTATTCTCGGGCTTGGGATGTAAGTCATCTGGATCTCACACGCCTGAGGGACAGTTTTGAGCAGGTGTTCAGGTCTCGTGACATCCTGCGTACCGTGTTTATTCCATACAAACAGTCTTTCGTGCAGACCGTGAGGACTGACGTGGAGCTTCCATGGTTTGAGACCCGACAGACTTTAGAGGCTTTCCAGCACAGTGGTAGTGTTCATCACTGGGATATGGATAAGCCTCTCTGGAAGGTAACTATTACGTCAGATCAAGCTCTGGTCGTGACAATGCATCATTCACTATTTGACTTCTGGTCTCACGGCTTCCTGTATGACGATGTCGCCGCAGTCTACACCGGTGCACTGGTTCCTCACCGTCCAAACCTGAGCCGATTTATCCGATACTTGCAACGAGAGCCTTCTGCTAACAGCACCTCATTCTGGTCTGAGTACCTCCAAGGTGCTGAAGTGCTCAAGCTGAACAGCAACCAGCTCTACAGCAGCAGCAAACTCGAGTTCGACCTTGGATATAGTCTGACTGCACGCGCCAGAAGTGTTGGGATGACTCTCGGTGCAGTCGTCTACAGTGCATGGGCCATCATTCTCTCCCGGCAGATGGGATCCAACGACATCACTTTCGCAACCACTGTTTCAGGCAGAGAAGCTCCTGTCGTTGGCATCAATGATCTCGATGGACCTACCATGAGCACTGTTCCACAGAGGATCAAGCTCGACACTGAATCTACCCTCCGAGATATCGCTCAGAAGACAGTAGCCTCGTTTTCTCAGCTACTCAAGCATTCTCAAGTCGGTATCGCCGCAGCGCTGAAAGCAGGCGGTATTGGTGCACAAGACATCGACACTCTCGTCAATATCTTGATCGATGCCAACAAGACCGAGAGGCCAAGAAAGTCCCACGAGATCTTCAAGATGCGTGGTTCGCGGCCTCAATGGGAGTCTGGACACGGAATGACTGTTCTGGAGGTCCAAGAGTCATCAGGACAGGGCGACTCCACCATTCTCCGACTCTCAAGCAACATAGATCCTCGACGCTTAGGATTCATCAAGGACTCGTTGGTAGAGTTGCTAGGGATTTTCTGCGAGAAGCCTGGTTCTATTCTTTCGTCTACCAACATCATGGGCGCTGCTGAATATGACCTCGTCTTCAACCAACTTTCTAATCGGGCGACACTTCGAGTCCCAGAGCCTGAGTTTCTTTACAGCGCATTCAAGAGAATTGCACAAGAGGCTCCAGATGCTGTCGCGATTGACTTTAACAATGAGGATACTATCTCTTATCGAGCCCTCGACAAACTTGCGAATCGTTTTGCTCATGCCCTTATCGATGTTGACGTACAACCGGGTGATCTTGTGCCCATCATGCTTGACAAGTCAGTTGACATGATGGTCGCAATTCTGGGCACAATGATTGCTGGAGCAGCATACGTTCCTTTGAGTCCCGACAATCCCACAGACAGAAACTCCTACATTGTGTCTGACACCTCAGCAAAACTCATTGTGGTTCATCCCGCGTACGTAGAGTTTGGCGATCATGTCAAGAAGTCACTTGGGGTTGAGACGCTGGTAATGAAGGGCTACGAGGATTTGAGCCCGAAAAGCTCGCGTGGTGAGGATACAGACTCTTGTCCCATTGTCAACCATACTCCAGCCAATCTCGCCTATCTCATCTACACTTCCGGCAGCACAGGACTCCCCAAGGGTGTCAAAGTTCCGCACAGAACCGCTGCAGCTGCCGTCACAAGCATGATACAAGTCGAAGGCCGTAGCCAGGGCGTTTGGAGGACTTTGCAGTTCGCCAACTACGTATTCGACGCATCGGTTCAAGATTTCTTCAACACGCTCAGCAGCGGCGGCACACTATGCATGGCCCCGACAGACGTTTTGCTTTCTGATATTGCAGGCTGTATCAACCGAATGGATGTCCGTCAGGCTATCATCACACCAACGGTTGCCAAGTTGCTCAACCCGGCAGATGTCCCGCGATTTGAAACACTCATTGTTGGAGGTGAGCCGTTGACCTCAGACGTCATCAGGACTTGGGCGCCTCACTGCAAGATCTTGAACGTCTACGGACCAACTGAGACATCGATGGTGGTAACCACCAAGCGAATTGAGTCACTATCAGAAAACCACGTTGTCGGCAATATTGGTGCTCCTTTTGATACCGTCATGGCATTCATCCTTGATCCAAACGGCGAGACACTGCAGCCTTACGGTGCAGTTGGAGAATTGTGTATTGCTGGTCCTCAAGTTACAGATGGTTACGTAAACCGTCCTGAGCTGACGGCTGCTGCATATGTTGATAGCGCTAAGCTTGAGGTTCGTATCTACAGAACTGGTGACTTGGCACGATGGCTACCTGATGGTGAGATCGAGTGTCTTGGCCGCAAAGACAACCAAGTCAAGATCCATGGTCATCGCATTGAACTTGGGGAGGTTGAAAATGCCATTCGGAACTCGGGTCTTGTCAAGGACGCGATTGCTGTGGCTGCCAAGGTTCATGATAAAGTTCACCTGGTTGCCTTCTGTACCTTCAACGATGATACCACTGCTGGAATGAATGGCACTGGTATTCTCGAACCTTCCACCATGAGAGATACATTTACGAGCCTGCACGAGAAACTTGGATCATTGGCGACTTATATGATTCCCAAGTTCGTCATTCCCATGATCGATTTCCCGAAGCTGCCTTCTCGCAAAGTTGACCGCAAGGCATTGAAGAAGATGTTGGAGGACCTCGATCGGGATTTCTTGTCGCAATGTGTGCTTGAGTCTCCCAGCCAAGACCACGCAGTCGTGCCTGTAGAGACACTCTCTGAGATTGCTTTGGAGTCGGTTTGGGCGGATATCTTTGGCCTACCGACCCATCAGATTGGACGGGAGGCAAACTTCCTAGCCTTGGGAGGTGACTCTATCACGGCAATCAGTCTCACTGGCCATCTTCGCAAACTGGGATATCACCTCACAGTCCTCGATATTCTCCAATCTCCCAAGCTCAAGGACATGGCTTCTGCCATGCAAAAGCTGGATACTGAAGCTGTGGGCAAGAAGAGGGTTTTTAACGTCCCCGAGAATGTCAAGATGGCCATTGAAAGCACTGGGCTTACATGGGATGATCACGTTGAGTATGGTAAGTTGCTCTCTCTCACGAGTTGACCCATAGACCACAGGATACTGACCTTCATCTCTACAGCATACCCTTGTCCACCCGGCCAAGCAGAGTTCTTGAAGCAAGGCGCCCGAGACTCTCAGATGTGGGTTCTTCAGACCGTGCGGCGCATGACTGGTGTCATCGAGCCTGATGCCTGGATCAAAGCTACCAAGCAACTAACTGAAGCCAATGACATCTTACGAACGACATGGCTAGAGGCATCTTCCGGGAACTGGGTAGGAGTTGTCCTTCGCGACACAAAGCTTAACATCACAACTGTCGCCGTGGACTCGGAGGATGAGATGCCCACTTTTCTCGAAGACTTCTGGCGAACACGCTTTGAGTTCGGTCGCCCCTTTATCAAGTACGCCATCATCACTCACGGAGACTCATCCTGGGACTTGGTCATCAAGATGGACCACGCGGTATACGACGGAACTCTGTTACGTGTCTTTGATCAACACTTCGAGAACATTCTACAAGGAAAGCCTTTGCCTCCTCGCGTGGAGTTCCGCGATTTTGCTCAACACGTTTTTGAACAAGACAAGTCCAAGGCACTTGAATACTGGAAGAACAAATCTACACACGCTGGGCAATCATCTCAGGTTTTGAAGGGTCAAGATCTCGGGGGAGTGAGTGAGCCTCGAGTCACCGCCAGTATCAAGATGAAGATGGATACACGTGGCATTGAGCACGTAGCAAGGAACTATGGCGTCACTCCAAGTATCATATTCCAGGCTGCCTTCACTCTTTGGTTGGCTAGGGCGACGAAGAGTGATCATGTTCGCTACGATTATCTCCTCAGCGGACGGAACGTGGCACTTCCGGATCCTCAGTCCATCAACGGAACACTAGCCAATTTCTTGCCGATCTGGACAGGAACGAACTCCACAGAAAAGGTCTCAGATCTTCTCGCGAGGTTACAAGAAGACTTTTGGGCTGTCACGGAGAATGGGTTAGTTGGACTCGACGATATCTACCAGACCCTGGATGTGTCCCGCGCGGCTCATGGGAACAAGGTCTTGTTTCTTTCGCAGCCATTTGACCCTGTTCCCTTGGATGATGCAACAACCCGCAATCGATGGCTTGTCATGGCCAAGTCAAAGGTGCGGATGTATCAGCCATATGCGCTTGTGGTGGAGGTATCGAAGTCTTTTGGGGATATTTCGATATTGAAAGTCATGTACGATGAGAAGGTGTTTGATCATGGGATGGCTGAAGCATTTGCTTCTGAGATTACTGAGTTAGTATCGGCTATGATAAAGTGTGAGAAAAGAAGTATGACCGTTGAGGAAGTTTAGATATATGTTTGTAGATTTAGAGATTTTAGATTAATATTTAACGGACTTAGATCATCCTCATGGTGTCGACACCGTCTGGGCGAGGGTATCATGCATAGCAGCTGTCTATTTAATTAGATCTGCTTTGCTTAGGAGCATACTGCGACATTAAAAGAACCCCAAGCAAGAGCAGGATACTGCATACTATGAGTCTGTTCTCACGGCTTTCATCTCCTAGATTCTCTCGTAAGCAACTATGCCTATAATACGAAGCATGGGGTCGTGGTTTGCAACATACCTTCGCTAACAGTAGTCAGACAGAGCCCAGTGAAGAAATTGAGTGGTACCATCATCAATCCGTAAACTCGACCTCTTCGCTCCTCCTGAGTCACCCGGCTTTTGAGATAGGCCATGCTGGGATAGTACAGCCCGGCACATATCTCAAAGACGCAGAACGCCCAAAAGCGACTTGACTCATCTCGAAGTAGAATTGCCGACAGAAGAGCCGAGGCCGAGATAGATGACGCAAGCTGGATTGTCCGCGATGAAACTTGTATCGAGTTTGCATCACGCGAGGTGTAAAGAAACATGAAAGAGCCCAGAGACATTGCGGCCGTGAGACTCGAGAATATGGTACCGAAAGGAGGGTTTGCCCAGATCCTCTCATGGAAGCGCGATGACATGATTGTCTGGGGCCAGGAGTAAAGGACAACGTAGACAGAGCCCTCAAAGAAGCACACGGTTAGTGTAAGAATAACCAGACTTGGATCCTCTACCCATATCGTCAGCTGCATTCGACGGCGGACGGTCGTAGTTACATACTCAGAAGAGAGATAGCGTTGGCTTTCCATGAAGTCTCGGCCAATGGGGGCCTGCCTGATGTACCACGATTCTCGGCCTGGATATAGATTAGCAATCGATATGAAGTGGATATGGCAGAGTTTACCCAGGACCGAGTGATGACCACCAGTGCGAAGCTTAGACAGACGATACTGAGTAAGAAGGGTGCAGTATGTGAACCCAAGGCACTCACAGCTGCTTGAGCTACAATGCCGCTTCCAGCAGAAACAATGCCATTTATCACAGCCATCATGCTATATATCGTGCTCAAAGCAGTCCCACGATCCCCAAATCCTTGCCGTTTATACTCAGCTGTCATCCAACTCTCAAATGCTGAGTAAAGCAATGTAGTGCAGAATCCGGCCATAACTCTACCCGCAAACAGTACTATTACGTTACCTGCGAGCGTAGTAAGACAGGAAGCTGAGTATACCAAACAGTAGTATTGGCACATGGATCTTTTGCCATGCTTATTTGCCAGCGAATCCACAAACAGTGCGCTGATTCCAGCAGAGACAAAGCCGGTGGCAAAGAGAGTGGCGATGGCAGGCTCTGATAGCTTATGGGTATTCTTCAGACAGCTGTATAAATAAGATGCCTGGGATGAGCCACTGAAAGTTAGTTTCGCTCTATTGGGTGCTATCCCTATCATTTAAACGCACCTGGAGCCATTCTGCAGCCATCGCCAGACCGTAAACCCACAGAAACTTGTTGCGGAAATTGTAATATCTATTACCAGTTGAGTCATGATCGATATCGTGTATCTCGTCGTCGATCATATCAAGACGACCAGATTCGGCCGCAGAGGCTCGTTCCACCTTCAACGTCACATGTCTGTGATGCAAATAGGAAGCAATAATGAGCGGTATGATGAGAATGATGAGCGTGATGGTGTAGTAATCCATGACTGGCTGACATGTCGGGATGAGTTATGAAACAAAGACTCCAAAGCCGTATATTGGAGTCAGAGTCGGGAGAAAAGGCTAAGAAAATTGGACAATGCCATCGTGGGAATATGAGACGGGGACCGTGCTGAGGCGTTGACGTTTCACGCCGTACCCCTGATGTCTAAGGCTAGCCCTCATTGGTCTCTGTCGTAAACCGCCGAAGTGGCTCCCGGGAATCCGGCAGAAGAGGCTAGGGGAGGAAAGAAAACTCAGGACCTTAATCCTAAGTGACAAAAAGAATTAGGTAAACTAGCCTAAGTTTAGCCTGAGTCTAGGATATCTTTTGCCGAGTTTATTTTGATACCCTATATCGAGGTCCGGTGTTTTCTTGCTCCCCGAGAGAGAGGTCAAAGACTGTGGGTCAGAAGGATTGACGGTATCTTAGCGTTGACGTAGGAATTCTATGCTGAGCAGAAAAGAAGACACCTTATCAGTATCAAGACAGAAATAACTGACATTATTACAATGGTCTAGGGAGTTCTGCCTGACTGGTATGCCACAAACATGCCGAGCTTCTATTATTGACAGGTAAATTGGCTAATTAACAGAAGACATCGTGAAGACCCACGTTGCCGTTTATCCCGACTCGGCAAATTGATCCGAGCTTTACGTGTAGGACTAGCCCTATTTATCTGGAGTCCGCGTCTGCTCTACGGATGGATCGTGCCACTTGAGGTGAAACTCAAAATGGCAGTGAAAAGGGGATAATTGCCTCAATTCACTATGAGAAGACCGATGGCCAAAATCAACTGTGTTGAGTATCCTTAATGTAAGTAAGATGTCTATCTTTTTTCACTACCCTCTATTATTCTCATGCTTTTTTACTGAGTGTCAAGTCAATTTCCAGAGACCTAGTTTATCATGGCCACGTCTCACAAACTGGTCACAATTACCTTCGTTTTCGCGACGATACTGCTCTGTACTGTACTATTCACGAGATCATCACCTCACTTCTCAAGATCAATATCATCGCCGAATCATGCGGATGTGTTTAGCAACGATCTTCATCTAAACTCAAGACTTGCACACGCCGAAAAGCTATGGAAACGCTCCATTAAAGCTCGCGAGGAGATGGTCGAAGTAGTGGGCTACGACAAGGCGTTTCCTGACGGATACATGAACCCATTCAACGTCTGGGACTTTGCTCGCCCCAGCTTCTTCTGCCCTCACGATCTTGAGCGAGTTGGGTCAATCAGCGACGGAGGAAAGATCATCTGCGGCATGTCACGCTATGAGAAGGAATGTCCTGGCCCATCATCAGACTCAAACAAAGCAAGGGAATTCATCGTCTACTCATTCGGTGTGAGTGTCGACTCCTCTTTTGAGGCAGAGCTGCTCCAGCGCACGAATGCTCGGATATGGGGATACGATGGCACTGTTGATAAGTGGGCGCAGCAAGTTCCTGAGTGGATATGGTCGCGAGCCAAATTTCAAAAGGCCATGATCGGAAAGGTGTCAGACGGCAAGGCTCGGCCGCCTGTGTTTTCGATACAAGATCTTATGAAAGCCAATGGGCATTCTTATGTTGATCTCATCAAGATGGACATTGAAGGTGCAGAGTTTGATGTTCTGACATCGCTGATCGACTTTGTTAAAGAGCAGAGAAAGAACGGCAATGCGACGATGCCGTTTGGTCAGTTATTGGTCGAGATGCATCTTAAGCAAGCACCAGAAGGCGCTACCGTTCCAAACGACCTTCAATCCTGGCTAAAGTGGTGGTATTCGCTAGAGGAGGTGGGCTTAAGGCCAGTGAGCAATGAAGATAATTGGATCGGCGATAGGGTATATGGCATGCCCAGATTCATGGAGGTGCGTCTAAGACAACCCAGCTTCAGCTTATGCGCAATTTTACTGACCATCACTCATAGTACACGTTTATCAATGCAATGGACAAGGAGAGGAACTTGTTACTATGGACATGAAAGACGTAACCTTGGATTTAAGCTATAGACAGAATATTTACAAGACCACATAGTTGTCCCAAAGCCTTGATACCGTAGCTGACTGAATCAGGCAGACTTGGGGTCTTGAGGCCACTTATCCAAGGTAGCCTTCTTTCCAGTCAACGTAACCTGGACCTTAGCTTGCGTAGGTTCATCCAGCAACAGAGTATAAGTACCAGGATACACCACCAGATCTCCATTCTCACCCCTTCGTGCGATGTTATCCAATGTCCACTCGAGCGAGATATCCTTGGTCGAAGAAGGAGCGACATCATGCAAGCGACCATAAGCTGCAAGTGTTTTGAGCGGATATGGCTTAGGTCCAACTTCACTCTTGATAAAGACAAGGGATACAAAGTCGGAGGTAATGCGACCAGTGTTCTTGACGCTGACTTGGATGGTAGGCAGAGCGCATGTATCAGAGTATTGAGCACTGCAGCCCTTGAGAAGCTTCTGGATGTCGAAGGTCAACTTATTGGCCTTGAAATTGGCCTTGAAGCTGGTGTAGTGGAGGCCAAAACCGTAGGGCAGAACTGGAGTCGAATACCAGCGATAAGTCCTTCCAGGCAACGACTTGGTAGGTCTCAGGTCCATATCGGTCATGCCAATCTGCTCAGTGTATTTACTGGGATACTGTGTGACGGGTAGTCGACCAGCAGGACTCTTACGCCCGGTGAGTAAATCCATAACTGCAGTGCCGCCATCCTGACCAGGGTAGTTGACCCAAAGAATACTGTTGATCTTCTTGTTCTTCAGAAGAGCAGTGTCATCGACCTGATCGCCAAGCTGGATAACTACCAGTGGTTTCCCGAGACTAGAGAGCTTCTGGAGCAGAGTTAGTTGACTTTCAGGCCAGTCGAGGTTCTCCCGGTCTCTGTCCTCGCCAGCAGCTGAGGCGTCGAGACCGCCAAAGTAGAGGATATAATCAGACTTCTTTGCCGCAGCCACAGCATTGGTAGTCCAGTTATCGTGAGACGAGCTGTTCTGCAGCGTCGGACCCCAAGCCACGTTGGTGTCAAGACCAAGCTTCTCAGCTGCGTAAAGCGGGCTGTGAAGGAAAGGAGCACGACCGCTGTATCCGCCCTGGAGCTTGGAAGTATCGTTGGCCCAGAATCCGATCATAGCAACACTATCCTTCTTCTTGAGCTTCAGAGGCAAGGTGCCGTCGTTCTTAAGAAGAACGGCACCCTCGACAGCAGATCGGAGTGCGAGGTCCTGAGCCTTCTTGGTGTTGACATCGGCAAAACTGAGCGAGTTCCATTGCGCTTTGGCACCGTCAAAGAAACCAGTATGAACGAGCCCTTCGAAAAGACGTTTCAGCGAACGATCCATGAGCTTCTCGGTCAAGAGACCTTGCTTGTAGGAATCGGAGACGTCGCTGGTAGTAGTATACTCACAGCTAGAATCCATGCCGTTCTCAAAAGCCACCTGGGCACCTTCGGCGTTGGTCTTGACATACTTGTGATTCTGCCAGATGTCTTGCATAGCTCCGCAATCACTGGTGATCCAGTTGTTATCGCGCGTCCAGTTCCAGTGCCCTCTGAGAATCGTTTCCTGCAGATAAGAGTTTGCGCACGAGGGGATGCCATTCACGGCATTGTAAGCGCACATGATAGACCCGACCTTTGCATCACGGGTGCACTCCTGGAAAGGTCTGACGTAGTACTCGGCCAGATCTTGCGGAGTGATCTTGGCATCAAAGTCATGGCGGGTAAAACCTCCCCAGTCCTCAAAGTCGTTACCAGCGTAATGCTTGCAGGTAGCAACAATACGTCGCTGCTCCTTATCGCCCTCAAGACCTCTGACGATGTTCCGAGCATAGCGGCTGACATGAAGAGCATCCTCACCAGGAGTTTCGGAGCCCCGACCCCAACGAGGATCTTTAAAAGGGTTCACGTTGGGCGTCCAGAAATCAACTCCGCGCATGCCACCGTTGGTGAATGCACGCGCTTCAGTGCCGACGGTATTGCCGATGTCATGGATTAAATCATCGTCGAAGGCAGCAGCGAGAAGAAGAGGCATGGGAAACGATGTAGCGACATCGTATGGAGGCGTGTTAGAATCAAAGTGAGCACCGGGAGATCCAGCGACTCCATGAAGGGCTTCGTTCCACCAGTTGTATCTTGGGAGTCCAATTCTTGGTGCGCCAGTTGCATTGCTGTTTCAATCAGCTCCGAGACCGAGGTAGTGATTATGAGTGAGTGTCTTACCTCACTAGATTGCCCACCTTCTCTTGGGGCGTCAAAGCAGCAACTAGAGCAGCTGCCCTTTGAGGAGGAGATAACGAGGTATCGCAAATTCCATTCTTGCTCAAGGGCTCCTTGGTACAGTCGGGTAAGGTATAGAAGGGGGTAGCAGCTATAGCCCGTCCATTCAGAAGAGAAAGCGATAAGACGCTAGCAGCGACCTGAAGATTGAGCAACATAGTGTTCCTCAGCTAGAAAAAAAAAAGCAACCTTGTCTGGCCCAAAACTACTGTTCTTGTCGTCTACTTTTATACTTCTCGCTTCATTTCTTCATGATGTTTCTGTTAGCCGGTTACTGCGGAGTCATGCATATGCTCATTTGCGGCTCACCATAGCCGAGCGAATAGAAACTCAATGACAGAGTGCTCTCAGGGCGGCATATGGCACGATCGGCAATTGTCTAACCGCAGTCGAAGCTATCGGATATTATCACTGGGTGCGGGGAGCCGCGGGGATGCGGGGAGAAAAGAGTGCAGTTTCAGGCAGAATACGGATTGATGTAACACAATAAATAGCCTAATAGCAAAACCTTTATTAGAAGCATAATACATTAAAGTATGAGGTCACGATCAGCAGGTGTCGAATGTATTGGTTATGTCTATCAGGGTTAAAAGCTTATGGAAATTAGCAGAAGTGTAATATTGGTGCGCTTGGACGTGGGAAATATTAAGGGTCACGGCTAATATACAGGAAACCGTTGGGAACTCGGCCCTTCTTTTAGCTCGGAAGCTTGATATTGGCCCACGTGTTTCTCCCTATCGAGTCAAATTCACCTCCATATGCCGCTTATATATCCCGTCCACTCCCTGAGAAACCATACCACGCAAGCTGATGGGCTACAGTCTGCATGACAATGGTGGCATCGGATGCGGGAACAAACAGGAATCTTACTGTTGTCTCGAAGCAACCTGTGCCTGAATGGATACGGTCTCTTAATAAGTTTCTTACGGATCCCGATAATGGTTTCAGTCTGCTAAGTACTACTGACATTTCCGCTCAAAGTCATTCTTCATATAGAATCCGATACAAAAACAAGTCGAGATATTCGGCGCCAACCTGGTGACGGCACTCGTCTTTTCAACGATGCGGAACTTTTCAATTATCTTTTCTGCCGACTTGACACTCTATGATGCATGACCAATTTTCTCTTTCCTCTTCCCACTTTCCAGGTCAACTGATTCATGAGCTTCCTCGGGAAAGGCACAATATACCCAAGCCTCCCCCAACTTCTTCTTCTTACGTCATGGCCGCCATGAGACGGCTGAATTATATGAAAATGGCTTTGCATGCAAGAGTTCCTAGATTTGCCGCCCGGATCTTCGGGATAATATTCGTAATATTTCTTGGATCAGCCCAAATCTGAGTCGTGGACGAGTTGATTTTGAGGGTGGCTTGGGTAGCAGAGGCTAGTGAAAGATGTTTCCAATCCGTAAAGTACTGGAATGTTGAGTAAATTGAAACAATGCTGTTACTTTCAACCTGAATATATCAAAATTTGTGAGATCTGAGCTTTGGAAGCACGTCCCCCTGCTGTGGCTAGCCAAGGTCAACATATAGCTTCAAGTACAATGGTATGCGGCATATGTGGTTTGGGAAAAGAGAAACCATTGTTAGAGTTGTTAGAGACTTGTTACTTTAGGCGCTGTAAGATGTAGAATTGATTGCGTCTAATCTTCACAATTTGATTGCAGGCCTTTTATTGTATATGGGTGTTTGCAAAATATAGACATCAGCGCCTGAGCTCCAGTACCTTTTGAAGACATCATGAGTTTGTTCCGCTGTGGAGCTACTATGTGGAACGAATAAGCGAAGAATGCTCAATCAGGTACAGCATGCAGCCAAAACATTAATACAAGGGTCCGCTTTGCTAGTTTTGGAGATAGCTTGTGATAATATTGAGCTGAACGGCTTCAGCCGTACTGACCCTTCAATAGCGTGATTGTCTATTTGTCTCATGCAGCAAAAGTCAGAGCGTCTGGTGTCAGCCATTGTTTAAAATCGTATTATGGCGCTAAGCAGCGCAACTGGGGATTGAATGAACAGCCATCATAGGTCTAACTTATGCAAAGCTAAAACCAACGGAGTTAGTGTTCATTCTGTGGCTTCAAAGCGGGGGAAGGGATGAATTAGAATCTGCTTTCAGCTCACCACGACCAAGCCACAAGCACACCGACTTGCGAGTCTGAAATGACCAGTCGCGAAATCTATGTCTTCCAGATACTGTGAAGCGACATCCAGTGATGAACAGACCCCTGCCACCTCATTGATGGGCACGGAGCCGTCTGTCCGGAGGAAGTGGAGGCTATATGCCGTTTATCTATTAGTAGTGTTGTACAGAAGTCTACGGGATGGTAGGGCTGAGACATAAGCAAGAAGAATTCTGTCGCTATAAAGTGACCTTTTCCACGCACGCACACACATATTGGGGAAGATCGAAGAGTTATAAAGTCATCGAGACCCCCCTTCTAATCCTTCACCATCAACAGCTTCTCTTTTCTCTATACAGACCTATTGTTCATACACACGATCATCCTGTTCTGTCAAACTTACTTTTACACCTTTACCTTTCACCTGTACCATCATGGGTTGGTTTGTAAACCTCCTGGACGGCGTCAAATCGGCAGGCCAGTGGCTCATCGACCACTCGGGGGATATTGCTCCTGTTCTCGGGGCTGTAGGCAAAGCAGCAAGTTACCTCCTCCCTTTGGACAATAGCGTCCCTGATTTTGCAGCTAGTGCTATTATTGCAAACCAGGACAATGAATCGGGCTCAAAACGGTTGGCCGACTTTCCTCAGAACTTTGCATACGTCAGCGGTCGGCTGGCTGCCGCCGCAAAAGCGGGAGTCAAAGCCATTCCAAAAATGGCTGGCAAGACCATCACGATCGATGACGGTCTAGTGGGCTTGTGGACAGATCCCACTGGCCTATCATTCGATGGGAAACCTTCTACATCGATGTATCAGGATCTTTCGGCTTTTATGGGAACTATGAGTATCCCAGTCTTCTGGACGGATGGCTCTGGAGTTGTTCATGACACCGTCAACGACATTGGTCAGATATTGTTTGCAAACAGTGGATCACAGGATCTCGCTGAGCTTGCTGGTAGTGACAGTCCTATTGCCACAATTAACGCAACAGTTCCGACTCAGGATGGTTTCCTTTATGCCTGCCACGTCTACTACCCGATCCCAATGGGCAAAGGCGGAGCGGATACCTCGCTGCATAGTGCTATTCATCTCATCTACACTGCGAATGCAGACAAGGTGACCGCGGCCGTAGCCCAAGACTATCTCACAGTCATCAACCCGCTGAGTGACCAAAACTCATGGGTGGTGACAATGAACATTACCTGGGCCAGTGTTCCCATCGCTGGATTAGAGGATGTCCAGACAGCGTTCGCGGACATATTCACCAAGGAGAACTCTGTACTCAATCTCTTGGTTTCCAACGTCACTGGCACACTTCAGACCGTCAAAGTGCAAACTCCGGCTGATAAGACTCCAGCCTACGCCAAAGCTGCCGTACAAGCTGCAGTGACTGCAGCCATCAACGGCGGGTCAGCCAAGGAGAATGTGCCCGCCAGCAGCACAGCTCAAGTCTGTATTACCGATTCCTCGTGGCTACCAAAGGTGTCGACGCCCTAGGCTTCTGGGCAGGCCACCAGTGCAAGCTATGCAATATAGGTCTTGTAGGTATTAAGTTTGTATTATCGGGAAGAAGTCGGAAAAGGGCATCGAGAGGTTGGATGAAATCAGACGAAAAAGGCAGGGAGACTGTGAGGATGCTGTCGCTTTCGGAATTTGAATTGTGTACGATTTTGACTTTGCACAATGGACTCAACCACTATCATCCTTACTCCCCGTCACAATGCCAAGGTAGAACAGAGGAGATCACCTCTCATAATAGACAATCACCTTTACAAGGTATTGGCAAACACTTCGTTCAATCAAAGAATATCCATTGAAGTTTGATGACTGTCTATTGTACGCCTTGTAAATTGTACATTAGAAGTGCCTCCCTGGCTGGTCTTTCCTTCTATCACTGGAGTTTATAGCTTCCATAAAAGATTGTTCATAACGAAATACTGCGTAAATATTCACAAACCGTTCTCGGCATATTTCCCGCTGTAATTGAAGTTGGTAAAACACAGAAGCCCATCATCCCCACAGCTTTTGTTACACTTTTCGTCGTTGTACAATCTCGCCTTGGCATGATCGTCAGACTCACTGCCAATTAATAAACCGGCTATCAGCCATGATTCATCAGCGCAATTTGGGGTTTTACATGCTGACTCACGGCGCACGATTTCACCTAAAAGGGTAAGCTCTTAGTTTGATTTGACTCCACTTAATCCTTGAATAAGGATCATCCCGCGATCAATGGGAAGAACCAAGAAAAGCGAAAGAGATTATTTAGATCAATATCCTCCCCGGGCCAGTAATGGACTTATTGCATAGTACCTCAGAACTAAGACTAGAAACACTTGCCTTCTTTCTTGTCAAATATCGCGGGCATCCCCAGTCCAAGGTGCGAATACCTTCGACCAAAATGTCCGACTATCCCAACTACTATGCACCGCCCAGAGTATCACCGGGTCCTCCACCGGGTACCAATACGAACAAGCCACTAGCAATGTATCCTCCATCCTATCAGGCACCTCCACCCGGTCACCATCAACCCATTTATGCGCATGCGCCGGTGCCTCCTAGCCTGCAAGCACCACCAAGCTACTACCCTCGTGTAGGCTTCACCAGACTTCCCGTCAAGTTTCACATCTGGAATGTCATGACCAGCGGCGGCACCAGCTGTCTCGAACTGGGCCCTCAACTCAAAGGCCCAGTAGCCTACTCTGCAAAGATGTTCTCTAGCAGCAGACTCAAGATCAAGGAAGGTTCATATGCATCTGAGAATCTACCTATCTGCACTATAGAGAGTCGGCATACTTTCAGCAGTAAGAGCACTATCACCTTTGATGGTTTTTCAGCCAACTTTGTGGAGACCAGCATGTTTAATGATGGCGCTACCTGGCCATTTGACGTTGACGTCAACGGTACCTCTCAGAGATGGCAGTGGAGAAAGAAGAAAGCACAACAAGCATCGACATTGAGACAGATAGTTGAAGCCTTTTCTGAGAGCGATTTTGGAAGCTGGGAGTTGGTCTCTGTGCTAGGTCAGGGCTGGCCCATCGCTACCTTTCATGCATCTGGAGGTAACACCTTTGAGGATAATGCAGCGCTCGGCGTATTTGAGTTTCATGGACCAGCAGCTATTGGCCAGTTGGGTGACATTTTTGCGAACGTCTCTATCGCTATCCTCCTGCGCATCATATCGCAACATTACATCAGTAGAATTGCAGCATTGGCCGGGTCATAATCAGCCAATATCTAATTAGTGAGGGGGCCAGCAGCTTCAAACAATGAACTTAATCCATAACTCAATAAAACCCCGTTTTCCTTACAAGTTAAGCTTTTCATGTACGCCATGAAGGAACTTGTCATTCTAATTCTGTATGCAAGCAAATCTTGTCATCTTCAACTCGCCACCGGTGGAGTAGACACCTATCAGGAGTTATCAATTAACCATGGAAACGATAGGAAATCAACAGGGACTCAACACAAGAAAGAGATTTTGGAGTCTACGGCACCCCAGCCTAAGCATCGGTCAGGCTGTTCCCAATAGAATGGGCGTGGAAAAGTGTATGTTAGGCGAGCAAGAATGTTGATCGATTCTCATGTGCGTCACTGACGTATTCATATATGGGAAAGTTCCAGTAAACGACTTTTCACGCAACACAATGGATAATTTACTGCCCAAGGCCTAGTGTCCAATAATTGAGGTCTCCATTAGCCCAATAGTAGGGTGCAGGGCATCAAGATTGATGTCTAAGGAGGGCTCATTTGCAGCAAAATGCTGATGACATAATTCAATTGGGTACCGCCGCTGCTGAGGTTACCTAACGAAACACTAGACAAATCTCTCCCTCAATGTGCATGCAGACTTACCAGCTACAGGAGCCTAAAAGATCAGCGATTTATCAGCATACCAGATAGATCCGATACTTAATCAACAGCGAAGAAAGATGATATATCGATGATGGTTTAGATCTAGTTCAACAGAACGCGCTAGAGGTCACCTATTTATGGTCACCAAACCTCCCAGGATCACAGACATAGCATGAGAATCCGGGCATGAATATATCCCCACTCTTTTTAATTTAGTGGCCTGTTAGTGCAGCAGCGATTTGATTACAGGGCCGCCTATTTTGAGGCCTGCTAGCTACCGTGGCCAAGCCAATGAGATTTCGCTTCAGTACAGCCAAGCCGCCAATTAGAAGAGGTATACACAGCTGTGCTGTTTGGGTTTCAAAGCCTTGGGTACAATAAAGGCTCACCGAAAAGCGAGTTTAATATATATATCTGGTGGCAAAGTATATTGTGTCTGCCTTGCAAATATCCAGGAACTACCGCGACATTTATATAAGTATACATTACTCAAGAAAACCATGTGCGACGACAGATCTTATTACAGGCCTTCCGTGAATCAGCGGCCTCAATCTCACCACACAAATCTCGCCCTGCCCCATCGAGGCGCTAGAAACTACAGGGCGGGCGACTGCCAAAGCTCTGCCGCCAATCGATATAGTGAAGCGGTAGCCGAGTGTGCCACACTTGAACCAGACGAATGGCCGGATTCAGCAACTGAGGCCAATCTCGACCGCCGACATCCCTTTCGGTATTCTGCATCTGCATACCATCACCTGAAACTGGACCTACTGCAGCAGTCAACAGATTCGTTCAAACGATGGATGCCCGGAATAGTATACAGCGCGCCACCGGAAGATAGGTTGCAGCCCCAGGAACGATTCAGAACACCTCGTCGCTATTCAAGCAGGCGACAAGTGAAGCAGGAAGACGACATTGACGACGACGACTTTGTTTTTGTTTCATATGCACCCCGCACCAAGGCATTCTTTCACTTTGCTTGTCCGTTTTACATCTACGACCCAGAAAAACACCAACAATGCCTCCTCACTGCCGGCCTGAAGTCAAGCGAGGGTGTCATCGAGCACGTCATGACACACCACTCCCGATCACCGTATTGTTCAAGATGCTATCGGAAGTTCAACTCGTTGATTGATCGCGATGATCACGTTTTGAGCGGTAGATGCAAAAAGCGATACCCAGACCCCTCAGATGGGGTCAATGAAGACCAAAAGGCCTATATGTTACGAGCCAATGATCAGCACTTGAGTGAAAAGAGGCGCTGGAATCGAATGTGGTCTATCATCTTTCCTGCCACGGAGTGGCCCCGCTCCCCGTATCTGGATCGAGGCCCTGGGCTCAAAGCATCGATGGTAAGAGACTTCTGGGATATATACGGTGTGCAGCTTGTCTCGGAGATTCTCGAACGTCAAAGACCATTCGCGAGCCAGGGTAGTAATACTCATAGTGTACTCTATGAAATAGGGCTGCGGGATCTCTTACAAATGGTTATTCAAGAGTAGGTAGGACTTTAAGAGCATGGGCCAGACGTCATGTTATGGATTGGGGGCGTATTCAGGTAGGAGTTTATGGCTTCAAAAGGATTGATCGAGATGGGTATACATAAAAGCCTGAACGGTTCTAAAGGCGTATTTCTTTTACCAAGGTTACTTAGAAGTTAGATCAAAGTTCTCACGATCAGTTTTTGCACAGATTTAATGAACAACGCCGGGAGGGGGGAACTCCTTGCTATTATATTTATCAAAGTTCTGTAAACTTTCACCTTAATTAAACCTTAGAAACATCAAATGATGGAAAAGCAGCCCGCACATGAGAGCATAACCCAATATCTCCTTCCAGGCTAAACAGATAAAAGTTCCTCCTTGGCGCTAGTTGTAAATTGAGCCTTGCGGCACTAAGATTGCTTGGTCTATTTCAGCTTTCTAGAGTCCAAAGCCTCCCCATTTAGTAAAATATCATAGACCGTACTGCGTATGCCACGATCAATAGTGTGAGCCACGGTGACCCGTAGTGTTTCTGCGTGTATTCAAGTATCCATTGTCTTGATTTACCGACTCGAAAGAGCCGGTGGGATATCCAACGTACGGAACTGGAGGATATCCAGAGCCGGGCACAGTAAAATATTCAGAGGAAGCAAAATTGCTCCCAGAATTCGGATGTGCCCCAGAGCCCGGAATTGGACTTGGTGCACTGTAATTAGTTAACGTATTATTCCAGTTAAAGGAATTTTCTCTCTGTACCCCAGTCGGCGTTCCTTGAACACCAAGATAGGTTGGGTCAGAGCTGTAATCAAAGCCTTGCGTTTGTGGTTGCAAAGTATGAGATGCAAGTTCTGTATCAGAATGCATGTGGGGTGTGCTACTGTAGGTTGGCACTGGTGTTGTCGGCAATTTACTCGACTGTGCTTGTGGGGGTACGAAAGGGCCGATATGGGGTTGTGGCGAAGGTTTGTAGATTCTATCCACCCATCGTCTAACAATCGATTGGGATCCTTCTGGAGGAAAACCTTGTATAGATTCAAGCTCATCGTGGAGTATCGACTCCATCTGTAGACGTGAAACACAGATTTCAACGTAGGGCGACAGTGGAGGTTGTTGCCCTGGAAAGAGCCTTTTCCAGATAATGAACCACCTTTCTCTTTCACTTTTCCCCTTGCATGACCCAAGCTCTGACTTCAGGGCCTCGACTTCTCCGTCCAACATGACACCTGATTCTTCGATATTCGTTATCTGACATTGGTTTCCCGCAGTGGAATGGACTCGGAGTCTATGTGCAGCACCCATGCCACGGAACAGATGGCGGCAAAATGGACAATAGAGAACGATGTCGTCTTCTCGGACTGTGCCGTTAGGCTTTATGTTGACCTCGACCAGTCGGTGTTGTCGGCTGATGTGTTGTAAGACATCCGAGAGACGACTTAACTGGTAGCCCCGACACTCGGCATATCGGTGCGGATCATGTTTGCAAAACGGACACTCGAAGGACACTATTGCCTCCCTTGTTGGAGGGTATTTCTGGCCGTCTTGTTCACCACCTCCCCCGTTCTGATCGTGGCGGCGACGCTTGTTCGCCCTGCGGCTGCTTTGAAGAGGTGATTCGCTGGCGACTTGGCGGGGCTCACTGTTCCCCGGGTTCATCTTGGCACCAATTTTTGGGGTAGTACATTTGGACTTGAGGATGGAGCTTCAGTAATAAACCGATAGAAAAACGAGTGTTGAAAGCCAAGCTCTAGCCGTTCAGGAAAATCATAGATATGAGATCGGCTCCTGGTGTACTTAAGATGGTAAGTGTAGGAGCCGCAAGTTTACTAGTTCACAGAAAGACGAGGAGAACGGCTATCGTTGCGGCCATGTTTTAACAAACATCATTCTTTGGGCACGGATTTGACTGAGTCAGGTATCAAGGCATTTCCTCAGTTTCCTCAAAATCTGGGTTCTGAATGCACTTAGCTGCATGTTCCAACACAATTGCGAGCGGGCAATTAAACGTTCTTCTGGTTGGAGATAATATGCTTGAATTTAAGGCCATTAATTAATGATTGGTGATGGGGCCTCTAAGAATTAGCTTCCGTCTTGCTTTGTCACGGCCAGCGCAGACCCCACTTATGCGCCTACAGTTGACAACAAAGCACTGAGGCTAGGGCGCTGGCCACGTCAATCGCACCTCAGCGAGGGCCTCCTCCCGTCGGGCCTCGCCCACAATTGAGGAGTCCTACCTTGATCAAAAGAGTAAGCTTGATTCCGAATGTGGTGGCTTTGTCTTAGCGAGGCTGCGATGCACTTTGTAAATGTAATTCGTGATAACCTGCAGTACCCTTATTTTGCCAGTGGCTGTTGCGTAGTTGCTGAGCTGTTTGCGTGGACTCGATGTTTGCAACATTGCCCAATTGTTTGGATGAGGTCCCCACGATCTTGTAGGAAGCCTTCAACTGTGAGGAAAATCTACACAATTGCGGAACATGTTATGTTTATATATGCTACATAATTCAATGCAGTTTCCAGCTTTTCGAGAGTTTTGCATGACTCCGATAAGAACCTGGGCAATTAACTACCTGGTACGTCCATGAGCTCTCAGCCAACGTAATGACTCTTTCCGCTCCGACCGAAAGGTTTGTTTCGATCGTCGATCATCGATACACACCACATGCTGATAAAGCCGTTCCTGCAGCCCCTCGCACCAATCGGGTGCCGTCACAAAGTACAGTGACCGCGTCCAAGACTGGCTGGTTGACCCTGGTCTGGATATCCAGGGTAGGTTGTTGGGCCACCTCAGCATGCAGCCCCAGCCTTCAAAAGACGTGCCAACGAACCCACCACCCAAGGCACGCCTGTAGGCGGTCGCCTTTTCCAGTGTCATGTCAGCGGCTGCGCATGCCTTGCAATTGCTTTGTTGTCTCCCGCCAGCGGATTGTGGCTGGTGTTTCAAGGTGGTAATAGAGGCGAAGTGAGAGATTTGGGTCATGTTATGTACAGAGAGAAATCAGGAAAAGCCGTCGCTCATAACGGACTTAGCTTATTTGATTTGGCGTATCCCCCCTCATTCTTTTCAGTGACTGCCAGCACATCGGCCACATTTGTGTGACATACTCCCCCGTACTCTCACACCTAGCCCACCCTGCCAATGAATGCAAGGCGAGCTGAACCAATCACTCCAAGCCGAATGGCGAGATTATCGAACTCCAAATCACCCAATTGAGAAGAGCGACACCCATTTTGTACCATTACCCTTCACAAAAATATGTAGCATCTGGGTAATCAGGTTTCACAGTCCCCGGGCTGACTGCCTTGCGTGTTCTGCACTTAAACGTCTTTACTCCGCCTTGAGGCTCAAGTGCACCTTCAGTTGATGCATCGACATTCCATACCAACGGGTTTCCAAACGTCCAGCTCCAGTAAATAAGCGAACTCTCGCATCAGCTGGTCATCTCATTGTATGGTCTCGAGCAAACAAGACAAGACTCCTCCGAACGAGTGTTTGAGGCGTTCTGAACAATGTCTTTAATGCAGGAAGCAACTATACATGAGTACATAAGAAAAACAACAACAACAACTGATAACCATGCGACACGTCCATTATCAAGGTTGCAATTCCACAATCGCGTCTCTCAAGGCCCTTATGGAAGACCTATCTCACCAGCCCCGCCAAGATCAGGAACAGCTGAAATTTACCCACAAAAGTCAAGTTAGAAAATGCCTGGATTCCACTAAAGAGGCAAGGCTAATCTCTATTTCATTTCTAGTACCCAACGAAGACATATTGTTAGATCAATTTTTAACCGAGTTAAAAGACAATGCCTTCTCAACGCAGGCTGCATCACTAAATGGCGTGATCTTGCAAGGACGACCAGATACACCAATCCCCATTTCACGAAATACAAAAAATAGGAGTGGATTATCATTAGATGCTCTCCGACTTCCTTCAAACATATCCAGCAATCAATATCTTAAAGAGGAAGAGAAGCAGAGTCCGCAGTTTCCATCCCGCAGCTCAACCCCCAGCAAAAGGAGACGTACAGCTGGACTCAGCGATGATCTTTATGACCTTGATGAAGATGGCGATAACAGCCCCAATGAAATCGTGAAGAGATTCGCCTGCCCTTACTTCCGGAAGCATCCAGAGCGTCACCTCGAATGCATCAACCTCAAAATGGTCCGCATCTCCGACGTCAAGCAGCATTTAAAGCGAAGACATACAGCGCGTTACCACTGCCCCATATGCTGTGAGGGATTCTCATCCCTGAACCTGCAAGGAAATCATATCTTGCAACAAACCTGTGTACAAGGATCTGGCGCAAACTGGGACAGTGTTTCCCCGGCTTCTCAGAAGGCCCTTCAGGCTCGCTTTGGGAAAACCCTTTCGCCAGAGGCACAGTGGTATGGGATCTGGACGATACTGTTTGGAGAATGCCGGCCTATGCCAAAGCCACATCTGGACGGCGTGGTGAAAGAAGTTATAGGGATTCTGCGCGGGATTTGGCTTGATGAGGGTCGAAGACTGATTTCCGAGTTTGTTGAAGCAAAAGACCAGCCAACCAGTTACAATGATCAACTGTACCAATTACTTGCGGGGGTTCTGGATGAAGTTGAGGCTCGCTTTGAGCAAGAGTCGTCTGAGAAGATCTCCAGCAAAACATCTGTTATTTCTGAACCAAGCCCTGAGGAATCTGCGGGAGTGCAGCTGGACACTGTTTCGCGTTATGTCACGGAGGGACCTGACAGCCAGTCGCTCGTTGCGCCCTATGACACTACAAGCTTGTCGTTTGATTTCTCAGCTGCACAATCAGAGGTTTCCGAAGTTTCCTATCAAACGTCAGAGCTCGGCTTCCCTGGAACGCAATGTTTCCAGAATCAATATCCTTATACTGATAATTCTGTATCGGATTTCCCGTTTTCGGATTACAGCCAGGAGCAACCTATTGCCATAGGTGGAGCGATGCTGTGAATATACATAACCATTCAGTTAGACTACGTCAGAGCAGTACGGGGTTCAACACTTGCTACACTGTGTTTGCTAGTGATAAATTATCGTCTTTACAATCCAAAACAGGGAGTTTAGGCAATGCAGCTTCTGTGAATACCATGGTTATGGGATCAAAATGCCCCACTGGGCCGGTGCCACTAGACTGATACTATTGTATTGCTTGGTGCAAAGCCTCATATAGAGGTAATAGAGCACGGTGCTAGACAGCTCGAACGTGGATTGCTAAAAAGATGCCAATGTTTCTAGACTACTTATGTCATCCTCGAGGTCCTCCTCAGTCTGTTCATTGAAGTGAGCATAGAAGTCAAGAAACTCCTCCACGTCCTCATAGACATCGCTATACCACTCTTCATCATGGACTCCATATCTCCATTTCCATTCCTTCTTATCTTGACTTCTGCAGTATAAAGCGAATGAGCCGCCCCAGCCACGAGGGCCACCACCGATCTGGAACGCTATGGCGATTTCCCAATCCTCCCAAAGCCCAGTGAGCTGATTTTGTTGCTTTTGTTCCACATGATTCCGTACTGGCACACCGACAGCTTGAATCATGGCCTTCATTTTCCCGGGTCGGAGAGGGGTGATGAAGTCGAACTGGCATGCCTCACGATGGAACGGCAGCCCTGGACCTGTGATGCCGCTAACAAGGGTGCAGAGGTACTCCAGATCCGAGGGAGGAAATTCGGCAACCTCTACACCCCTCTCTGAGATGCTGGCCTTAATGCCGGCAAAGTATTCAAGTCTTAGCGAGGGGTCCACTGGATCGTCATCCACACCCTCGAGCGAAGCCGACAAGATCAACGAAGAGATGACGGTCTTATCGAGGACATCTAGGGGCGTTTCAATGGACTCGGGAACTTCTATGAGCTCTTGGATTGCCTGCATTCGTAGGCTCTGTGCCACCGGTTCTGTGCAGTTCGGCGGAGTAGGCTCAGCTTCGACCTTTTTAACCAGAGTACGGAGTAAGAATAAATTATGCTGTAGCACACTTTCGCGGTACCGACGAAGTGCGGCCTCGATGTTTTCGCGCCTTTCTTGATTCATGTTGAGTGCGTGGCTGATTAGGAGTGCGCTGATGCCTGTAGATGAAGATGAGAGAGATCCTTTTTACTCACTCTTAGGGAGTGCCCGGAATAAAACACTCTCCTACAGTCATACGGCGCTAGAACACATTAAGTCAAGACAAGGGTGAGTACGCCCAAAGGGAACCAACTGCTGCCTGCAGTGGTTTGATGACGATGATGTTATTGCAACTTTCTTCAAAATAGAGAAAATTATGTATATCGCGCAGTGTCACAAGGGAGACATAAAGTAAGGCAGGCAAAAAGTAATGTGTTAAATATCCCCCCACAATAATGAGCAAAAGCGACTATGTACGATTTAACACAGATTCACTGTCATCTGCTGACTTGTCCGTAACACAGCATGAGACTCCACGCCTTTTCAACTCCTCGTTGTATGCCCGAGTTCTAGCTCTGTCCTCCTCTGTAGGTTTCCTGGGAATATCCTCTACATTGGGATTGAGCATATTCCTACGGGATACATTACGGCCATCTGCGGCGAGGAATTTCTCAGGCATCGGTAAACCATCGTAATATTCTCTGATTTGGGATGGGTTGAGACCAACCGCATCAAGAACATTCCGTTCGGCGTCAAATGTACGCAACACACCATCAAAGCCGAGTGCAGTTATACCATGTCCGTCTGGATCTCTCTTCATCGATCTTTGTATATCGCGCAGTGACATGTCATCGCTCGCGGGTTGTCGATCTGCGAGGACTTGGGCCTAGAGTTGGTTAGTTAATTCTCACTGTAATCAAGACTCTAATGTTTGGACCAACATTCGGTTGCTGCCTTTCTGCCATATCATCAGCGAGTTGGATGGCCTACTAATTTGGAAATCTGGAACAAACTGCAGTTCAGATGAAGCATGTAGGGATGGTAGAAGTCATCAGTCGGATCGTGCAGTGCGTGGGTGATGGACACCTATATACCAACCAACTGGACTACCGTATCGGGAAATCGCCGCAACGATGTCAGCTGTGAAATGCGGCGCAGGTACATAGGTTAGCGGTGCACGAGGTGTCGTATTGGCATATTTCGGGAATACGACATCTTGGAGAATCACATCCAATGCCGTCTTAATTCTGAATTGTCCTTACCTACATAGGAAATATTCTCTTCATACAAATCCAGATATCTTTGCACTGTGACGGTATTTTAGGGATGTGAATGCATAATCCCAAAGTCCCACGGTTGGTCCACTGGCCTGCAGATCAAAAGTCCCTCGTCTGCCAAACAGCCAACAACGCTAGAGATAATTCGGAATCATCCTATTAAATTGATTTGTAAGACGCAACCATGAGTTCTGAGGATTATGTAGCTGTCATGTACGAGACGTGGCTACTCTGGCCAACATGCAGCTTGTTTTGCAAGTTCAACGCATGAGCTAACAACCCTAATTGAGGTCAGGTTATTGTAATTTCCTTGAAGTGACTCAACAAGCCAGTGCAATTTACTATTAATTCTGGCTTCGAGGTACTCCTGCTGGTTCTGAATGGGCTTGGGCCTGTGACCTACAGGTTCGTAGCGCCGTTCACCTGTCTAATTACTTTACACTATTAGCGACTATTGCCACTACTCCTGAGACAAACCTTGATACTACTTCATCTGAAAGGCCTTACTACAAGACGCCAAGACGATGGCCAATCAGGTCGTGTCCAGATGCCTCAATACGTGGTTAAGTTTGCGTGGACTTGAGTGATATTTCAGTGACATGGAGTACAATGGTATATAATGGTATACGTCTTAGACAAAAGGCTATACGTTTTACTTCTCTAGAGCCTGATAAATAGCCTTTCCATAAGCCTCAGCCCGATCACTACTAACAAGTCCACCACCCATCTTATTCATAGCATAAGCAATCGTCATACGCTTGTCCAAGTCCATGATAATAGTCGAGCCTCCCCAACCGCCCCAGAAACAGATTTTGCCCTCTGGAATCCATGGAAGTGCCGGAGAAGGCGTCAGTCCATATCCAATGCCAAGTCTGAACGGCAACCCAAGAACCAAGTCCTTTCCATTAGACTGTTCCTGGAAGATCAACTTGATAGTCTCCTCAGATAGAAGCTTCTTGCCTCTGGATGAGCCACCCAATGTGATTGCAGAGAGGATCCGCGCCAGTGAGCGGGAGTTGGCGTGGCCGTTCACAGCGCCTAACTCAGCTTGTCTCCAAGGCCCCGTATTCACAGAGTTGGGGTCAAGTGGTGGATTGAGTAGCGTCTTGGCTTGAACCGATCCCTCTTCAAACTCTGGTATGATTCCTGTAAAGTCTGGGGGAATGATAGGAGAGATGCGGTCCCAGGTCTTCTCCGCTGCGCCAATCTGGAAGTCGGCATCCAGAACGCTCGCGATCTCGGTATCCACGAATTCGCGCAGTGACTTCCCAGAGACACGCTTAATCAGCTCTCCAAGTAGATGTCCCGAGCACAAAGCCTGATATCCCGATGCCGTTCCAGGAGTCCACCATGGAGCTTGTCTTGCTAGCATAGCAGTCGTCTTTTCAACATCATACATGTCTTCAGTCGACAATGGCTCTTCCCAGCCTGAAACACCAGACGTATGACCCAACAAATGTCTGACTAGAACATCCTGTTTTCCATTTTGCTCAAATTCGGGCCAGTAGTGTGAGACACGCTCATTGACATCGATCAAGCCTCTGTCGACGAGCATGAGAACCGCAAGACTGGTGATGGTCTTTGTGCACGAGAATACATTAACGATTGTATCTTTTTCCCATGGCTTAGTTCGCTCCCTGTCTGCGTAGCCGCCCCAGATGTCCACCACTTCTTTGCCATCAATGTCGATGGTGATTGAGGCGCCAATCTCTTCACCTGACTCGAGGTACTTCTCGAGAAGAGCCTGAACGTCGTGAAACCTGAGGTCACAGGTTCCGTGGATCTGAGTCATTGTTGCTGTGGGGTCGTGTCCGGGCTGTGATCGGTATTGCATGTTGGACGAGGTTAAGGCCCTCCTTTGACAGCGACTTTATACCTGCAGCCCTTGGAGCTAGCGGTCAACATGCCGAGGCATCTTGACGCTGCTGTCCCGCGGGAAGCTAGTCTAGAACGCGGGGTATACCAGGCTAATGTGGATGTATTGGTTTTAGTTGTTTCATTTTGGTCAAGTGGGCTGCGATCTGATGGGTCCACAAACGAAGAGCGATACACTTAGGCTTCATATTGCTATATGCATGATGCCTGGTGCCAGAAGATTTATTATGAAATCGAAGTCGGTATTATATGTCTAAATTAAAATAAGAACTCAACAAGCCTATAACTTACTGTATGACCTTTGATAGTAGAGCATTCTTAGAGGATCTGATCTTGTCGTGGCGGCCCTCACTGGGTACCCAATCAGCTCATCTCATGGAGTGTATGGCTTGCATATAACCAAGGATCGAGACCGTTCTAGAGAAGCTATCTTGTTCTGGCTAGCTTTATCTTGTCAAGCCTCTGATCAATCTCGCCTACGTAGCTCTCGCTTAGTTTATAATAAGTAGTAAATGATTAGTAACATCTAACGTCATTGCATCCGGACTTCAATGATTAATTGTTAAATTGAACGTCTTCTCAAGCAGCTAAAGTGAATCAGGGTGCTTTAAAACGACGGAAGGTCTCTAATTGGCCAAGCGAAAGCTGAGGGTCGTTAAGAATTAGGAAGCGACTGGCTTGACAATGCAAACGCTCAAATTGATATTCAACATTGGATTAAAATGTCAGAGGTATTAGTTAAGCCAGCGAACGAACGTTATATGGTGAATTGATGTTGGACTTGGTTGATGGATGGGAATCACTTCATTCACTTGACATTACTTCCATCCCGACCAGCTGACGCCAAGACCAATGTTTTAATCGGCGATCGGCGGTCCCGGTTTAAATCGTCCTTCCCGTGCATGTTGAAATGCCGACAAGGGTTACAGGGATTCATCGCAGAGCTGTCACGTAATTAATAGTGAATTCGAACTTATGTATATGTAAAGAGGCGGAAGCATTCATCTCATGTCTCGTTTGGCGAATGTACGGTGAGTCTTCGGCCTAGAGACTGATACGCGAAAATATGCTGATCTGATTGACTTGCAGATCGCGTGCCAACGGTGCGATGCACTAACGGACTCTCGGGAAATAAGATATCTGACAGGGCTAACGTCTTTGTTCAGGCACCCAAATTCCATGTCAGCAAGATTGAACGACTGCCTTGTTTCTGATGAGGTGGGGTCAAACATACGTTCCCCGGTGGCTGAATAACGGCTCCGAAGCATCCGAAACCCGACATGATTCGCCATAAACAGCCCAACCCGCGAATCGCGGTCCATCAGCTGAATGTCTTGTGATCTCATGGACTCTCTATAATATGCGGGGAGGCGCCGCACTCTAATCCAGCCTGGCGATGATGCCACTTTTCCACCTTTCATCTAGCCCCAACGCTTCCAAAACCTCCGATACTAAGCCAGCCATGGCAAAAACAAAATCCAGAATCCAGCCATTTTTAGAGGCTGTTCGCAACGCCAGACAACTCATCTTCACCGTCATCGTCATTGCCATTTTCGCCATTGCGTGGTTGGTCCAGGGTGGTTCGATTGACATGCCAGAATGGACCAAAGACATGCGACACCTTGACGGGGACGACTGGACGAAATATGCCGTGATAATCATCGTCGCCGTCTGTGTGGTTTTTACGCTCATGATGGCGACGGGCATAGCGTTATTGAGATCGGATAGTGCTCATGGTTATTCCTGATTGTTTCGGATGCTGCGGAGGTAGGCCACCTGTTAAGCGCACGTGCGAGATAAATGACTGATGATTACAGGCATGGAAGCCTTTCACAGACTGCGAGAAGAAGAGACTAACTGATTAACGAGGCCATGATAGAAAGGGATACACCGAGCGACACCTTTATGTGATTTTGGATTTGTATGAGCTCGGATACATTATATGGGTCTGGACTACGCCGCTGCGGCAATGATAATGATATTCCCCCATTTGGAGAATTCACATGCCGTTATTGGCTATAAATAATGGAGTTTAGGATAATGTATATCAATGATTTAATTCTGTTTTCTGACTCTTTTTTGGTCGCTAATACATTTCCACTTGAAGCGCAAGGAGAATCTTAGACCAAGGTGGATAAAGTGATGTCGGCAATGATCAGTACCTTACCTAATTGCCTGCATCTGCATCGTACCTTAGAACCTACCACGATGCAGGCAGTTCAGGATCTATTAACAAGACATCGACCATTGAGCTGTGCTCGGGAGACCTCCCTCTGACCCTCTAAACCCTAATCTCGTTCCAAGATGCCATCTACTATGCACTAAGGCAATTACATTTCGGACGTTTGTTTCGCTGTATTGACTGACCCGTTTGCAATAACACGGTGCTCATAGCGGAGAGGTACCATGTTATCTTGATGTTGTTCTATGATGCAGCATCTCATAACAACCCTGTTCTTGATACCCTTTGCATTTCCAACGAATCGCCTCACAGTAGCCTAATCCTACTCCCTTCACGAAGTTAAAGCTTTGCGATACCAACGCTTCTTAGTGTTCATAGCACTGTTTTCAAGTATGCATTCTATCAACAATAACAGAGTTCACATAAACCACTTTCTAATCTTAGATCTAAAGGAATACAATTGCTTTTTCCACCAGAACCAGAGACTTAATATCCTCATCCTTTACTTCTGCCAAAGCCTTACTGTAACTGGCGCTAAAGCTTGCCTCCTCAGCCTCGGTCTCATTACCTGCCTCTGAAGCAGTGAAAAGAGCGGGTAATAGGCAGATCTTTACGTCTCGACCTAAAAGTTCATTGTCTCCAGCTTGAGACTGGCCGACCTCCATCTTGTCCGCATCAAATAGTGTACCTGGCCTGAAGAAGAGAAACCTAAGCCGTTTTACAGACAGTATAAGCTCAATCTTGATTTTCAAGGCATGATACAGAGTACTTCTCATGTCGCTAATTGTCTCCGTTTCGGGTTCGTTACGAGGTAAGCGTTGGGTTATATCCCGACTTTCTAAAGGCAGAAAGCAGCTTAGATTCTGTAGTATCAAGCTGGAAAGCCACTCAGCCCGTTCTGAGATAATCCTGTTCTTAACATCTTTGTCTGATAAGAGAGACTTTATGGAAATGATATCGAGTCGTTGAAGGGCGTGCCATCCATCTGGTCTCGTTAGCTTTATCTCCAGACAGCAAACGAGATGGACTGCAAGGACAATGATATACGTACTTTGAGTTTCTATATGCCTTCTGTACTGGTCTAAGAGTGGCGAGTTAGCAGCCAGGAAGGCTGGAAATACGTCTTCGAGAACGAGTTCAAAGATGCCTGCCGTCAGCAGAGAGGCCAAAACGACCTTTTTCGGTATCTGCGCTGTCTCGCAATGGCTGAGAAGCGAGCCAAGATCGTAAGCTTGCCCGCCAATACGTCTAGCCCAATTATTTGCCAAGTCAGAGAAGTCCGTTCGCTGTTCCGGGAGGGCGTCGTCCAAACTCAGATGACAAATCATTGAGGAAGTATCGCGAACGTTGGAGTGGAGATTCTGATACTCTGCCCGGAGAGAGGTATTGAGAAACCCGAGCTTATCTGCGTCCAGATCATCGTGGTTCTTCTCAAGGAGTCGTTTTCGATCAAGCTTGTCTTTTAAACTGGATATAACCTCTCGAAGCCGAGTTTCCTCCCCATATTCACGCTGTGCTGAGCTGGCAAGGCGAATGCAATCTTCCAAGTCGTGGTTTCTTCTTTTGAGCTCGGATATCCGGTTTTCCAAAGTCGCCAAATAGCTCTTCTGCCTGAGGAGATCTTCGTCTGACTGTTTTAATCTGACCTCCATGGAGGAGTTGGGCGCTGCCTCCGAGATAATATTCATGGCGTCTTCTTGAGAGTCGGGAATAACAGATGCGGGTTGGGGTTCTACATCTGAGAGTTGCGACGAGGCAATTGTGCTTAGTTTGGAATCATCCTCGCTTTTAACCCTTCCTGTGTTGTCGTCTTCTCCTGCGAGCTCATCTTCACTGAGATCGTTGTTCGAGGACTGCCTTGTCAACCCCAAAGAGGACTTTGCTCTAGTCTATAGACTTGTCAGTTTAGGTCCACCTTTCCTCAGATTCAGTCTCTGACCTTTTGTCCTGGACGTTCTGCTACCACGCTTGGGTTGCCAGCCTGTGGAGTAGGCAATTCATTGGGTTCTCTGGAGCTGCTGATTGAGTAGATAGAACGAGGTGCAGAGAGTGTACCTGATTTAGCAGCTAAACCCAAAGATCTGCTTCGCGTGTAGCGCGTTTCTTGGGCAGGACTTATGCTAGTGAACATTCTGTTGAAGGTCTCCTGCTCTTCGCCAACCAGAGGCGTGAGACCTGTCGTACCTAGCTCAAACAGATCATTGAATTTACCGCATACTCCATAGCTACGCCATTCCTTGTATAACTTTTGTCGGATGCGCTCTTTTGAGAATTGCTTTCCCGTCACCCTTTCGAGATAACCCGGAGCCGTAACCTCGAACTTTACACAGTACTGTACGCACCAGTTCAGGTATGCTAGAAGTTGAAGTCGGTCGGTGGTACTCCATAAGATACGCTCTGTCGCCTTGGACTTGGTACGTCGCCTGGATTTTCGATTGTTCTTTCTTGCCATGATGCAGTTGTTTGGGAGAAGCTGGAGGCCTGCGTAGCCGCTGGAACCGATGTTGGTTCGACCCCTGTCGGCCTCCATGCGGCCATGCGCACAGGTGAAACTTGAATTGCCCAATTGCGTTGACTCAACTTTGCCATCCTGCATATTCATCGAACCAACAACACGTTACCATTGGCCAACGCGATATCTACGCGCTCCCTTGATAGCTACGTTTCTGCCTTGCTGCCTAGAGAGATAGTTCGCTGTTGAATCGTGGGGCTTAGCTGCAGCGACAAGCAGATTAAATAGGAGGCTTCCTGACCTACTATGCGCGAATTGTTCAATTGGCTATCGGCGCTTCAATCATGTCATTCTCAAGGTCATCGACAGTAACTTTAGGTCGAGAAACTGCACCCAGTCACCAACCTCAACCGGAAGAGGACCATGTTAGACTGGAACCAATCAACCTTGACCTGCTAGATGAGGACCGTGGTGATCCCTTCCCAAAACGCCTCATCATTGCGGTAGACTTCGGTACAACTTACTCAGCAGTTTCCTATGTCGACGTGCCCCAGGGATGTCCATCCGATTCCGTCGACTCGAGGTCTATTCGCTCGATCGGAAACTACCCTGAGAACTACAATTACCACTACAATGATCCAATGGGTATGGAGGTTCCTACCGAGGTGATATATCCCTTAGATCGACACTTTCGCGACCACTTTAATCTCGATAATCCCGAGGAACATTTGGAAAACGGCGAGGATGTTGAGATGCCAGTAGCTGACGAAGAGGGCGACATCTCCATGCTCTCGGACGTGTCGGAGGAATTCCGATGGGGTTACCGAGTACATGAAGTCTGGAATCGTCCATCTACACACTCCAACACCACAAACCAGCCTTTATCTCGATTCAAGCTCTTACTTGACAACAGTGAGATGACTGAAACGGTAAGGCGAGATGTGAGACAGACCATCAATACTCTGAAGAGAAGGAATGTAATCCAAGGGCCGCTTCACGTCATCGCTGATTTTCTCACCTACCTCTTGGAGCATACTCGGTCTCAGCTGCGCCGTCACGGCTTCGATGATAGTTATGAGAAAGAAATGATTCTTTGTGTGCCAGCTATCTGGACACAGAAAGCATGCCGAGACATGCAGGCGTGCCTAGCAGTAGCTATGAAGAGATCCAACTTCACGAGGGCCGATTTACAGAACAAGAGCGTTGACAACCTCTTCATCGTGTCGGAGCCGGAAGCTGCTGCTGCACACATGCTTTCAACTTCGGCTGAAATAAAGGTACAGACTGTTCCCCTGACTTCTTTCACGATGCTGTTCTAACATAGCTAACTAGGCTGGAGATTGCTTTGTTCTGCTAGATGCAGGTATGCTTTGCCCCTCTTGCGCCTTTCCATCTAACAACATGACCAAGGTGGCGGAACTGTCGATGCGAACACATATCGAGTCAGTAGGGAGGAGCCATTGAGGCTTGAGACGGAGATAGTGGCTCCTGGAGGTATGTTGTGCGATACCAGTGTGTGGGATCTATAACTGATTATCGCTTGAAAGGTGGTCTACACGGATCTAGTTACCTGAATGAAGGTTTCCGGGATTATCTCAAAGATCTCCTTGCTGATGAAACATACCTCAATGATGGTACCGAAACCATCCATGGAATCGTCGAGAGAATAACATTCGAAGAATTCGAAAAGAGGATTAAGCGTGGGTTTGACTATAACCAGCAGACGTCGAGAAAGGAGATATATATAAGAGGACTTCGTGATAATCCTTCCAAGGGCTTCAGAAATGAATGTATTTACATTCCTAGGTAAGTCCAACTCGAAAGCCCAAAGGAAAAGCTTCTAAACCTGGCGGCGATAGAATCAAGATTCAGGAGATATTTTTCAAGCATCTAGACGCTATAGCTGAAATTGTGAAGAGCCAACTTGATGAAGCAAGGGGGAAAGGATACACCGTTGGGGTAGGTTACTTTTGGTCAAATAGGTCGTTCACTCTGACATAAGACTTTGCAGAAAGTTGTTCTCATTGGAGGATTCGGAACCTCAATCTCGCTCAGTCAGAGATTGCAACACTTCTTGCAGGAATACGGTCGAGAACATAATTGCCGCATCACATTGATGGAACCTCAGCAAGGGTTTGTTTCCTAAACGCACGTACCTATCCGCAACTCACTAAGCTCTGATATACAGAACTTCCATCATCAACGCAGTAGCATCAGGAGCTGTCCTCAGAGCTCTGAATAAGGCGAATGGGCCGGAGAGGATAGCTCGGTCGAGTTATGGCATACTGCGAACTGAACCTTTTGGACAGTACCCTGAGCACGCAGGTCTAAAGCCGTCCTACGACCGTCATGATGGGATGCCGTATATCAAACAAACGATCGATTGGGTCTTGAAGCTAGTCAGTTGTTCTATCGAGACTTTTCGTTTGTTAGAGAACTAACTTGAACACAGGGAGAAAGAGTTCCATCAGTATGGCAGTGTGAACCCTTCACCTGCAGTCATACATTCGACGTCTGGCCTGTCCGGCCCTTTATCTGCAAAGAGATACTTTATGTGTCAGACCGTGCAACGAGATCACACTATAGGAAAACCCATCCTAACAACAAAGGTGAGCTTGAGGATCCTGATGAAGTGCATATCTGACTGTATTCTAAAAGGTGCCGAGTATGTTGGCGAAATCGAGGTGGACTTCTCTTCTCTTCGAGAGCAGTTAGTCCCGATCGAGCCTGTTATCAATAGTAATAAACAAAAGATTGGGAAAAGACATTATAGGATCGACTTTACGATGGCCATCAAGGTTGTTGATCGCGACTTGGAATGTAAGTTCTGCCAGATGAGAATCTGTCTCACTGGGACTCTGAGGATATGTGTTGTCCGCTGACACGCCGTTTATAGGTTTTGCCATCCACGATCAGAAGGTAGTCAAGAAATGTCGAATAAACATCGCTTCTGGTTTCAGACCCGGAGTTAAATAGACACCTGTTGTTAGGGGGATATTTCTATAGAGGCTGATGGATTCACGTATGAGGGCAAGTAGTTTATAGAATTAACTTATAAGACAGCAGATCCATGACTCGCCCGCATCTGTAACGTATCGTGCCGATTGCCGGTTCTTAGCCTTGGCTCGCCCTACAACTTAATTTTCAGTGGAGTTCTAGCGGAGTCTTAGTCCAAAACTCAGATCCATTAGACTGGGTCTAGTGACGACATCTTGGCTTTCGTCACGAAGCCAAGAAACAAAAATCAAGGAAGATGATCTTTAGCTGTAAAATAAATAAATGCAAATGCCCACAGAATCTCAGATCTGATCGCGCGATTATACGAAAACTATCGCGATCAAAATGTCGCAACCAAGTGACCCCCCATACCATGCAGGGGACGGCTATGCACGCGACATAAATGGCCGCCCCGTAGACATCGAATCCGGGTCTTCAGCACGCGACAGAGCATTCCCCAAAAACGCACCTCGACCTCTACGACTAAAAGATCGCGTTGTCAGGATAACATGGAGTTGGTTCCCCTGCACAATGTCAACAGGCGGTCTCGCCAATCTGCTCAACGAACAGCCCTACACATTCAACGGTCTAAAAACCATCGGCAAAATATTCTTCATCCTCAACATCATCCTCTTCCTAACCTTCACCGCCCTCATCGCCACGCGCTTCGCAATGAAACCCCGCGCCTTCTCAACGAGTCTGCACCATCCGTCTGAATCTTTCTTCTTCGGCGCTTTTTGGGTCTCTATCGCGTTGATCCTGACGGGCGCGCAGTCGTACGGTGGTCCGGAGACGGGGCCGTGGTTCACGACTGCTATGAGGGTGGTCTTCTGGATTTATTATGCTTGTGAGATGGTGGTGGCGGTGACGCAGTATCATATTATCTTTGAGACGGAGAGGCTTGATATTTCCGAGGCGTTGCCGGGATGGATATTGCCTGCGTATCCGTTTTTGGTAACGGGCATGTTGGCGGCCAAGATAGCGGGGAGTCAACCGCAGTGGAGTGCTGTGCAGATTATAGTTGCTGGTTTGATGGGCCAGGGACTTGGGTGGATGCTTGCCCTGTTTATCTATGCAGTTTACTTGTCGAGACTGATTCAGCACAAGTTGCCGGATGCGTCCAAGAGGCCGGGCATGTTTATCGCTGTCGGGCCAACAGGTAGCCTCTCTCCCATTCACTTATCCTCCTCTCCATGCTAATTCTTACAGCTTTTACGTGCGGTGGCCTAATTGCACTTGGTACACAAGCCAAGTCTGCTCTTCCAGATGACTTCCTCAGCACCCCCAGCATCCCCGCCGGCGAACTCTGGTCCGGCATGTCAGTGGCTGCAGGGCTCTTCATCTGGCTCATGGCGATCTGGTTCTCGGCCCTGTCGGCGATATCAGTCCTCCGCGCCGCTCGAAGAATGGACTTTAGTTTGTCGTGGTGGGCACTTGTTTTCCCCAACGTCGGTCTTGCTCTGGCGAGTATCAATGTTGGGAACACTCTTTCATCAAGAGGGATAAAGATTTTTGCATCTACTTTAACGGTGGTGTTGGTTATTGTGTGGTTTATCTGTGCGGCTTTTCATATCCGAGCCATTATCAGGAGGGATTTACTTGCTGTTGGGAAGGATCTGGATGTTGAGCATGTTAATAAGCAGCATGATATAAAGGCTGAGAAGCAAAGGGATTAGCTAACGAGTAGCTGAACTTTATATATCACTGGATGGTATCAATCGTGGCTTTCGAAAGGACTTGCAGGTCAAAATACTCGAACTATGACATATTTTCTATCGCTCTAAGCCCTTTAAACGTCTTACGTGTTCAATCGAGTCCGGCTGGACAAAAGACGCAAGTGCTTCCTCAGAGCCAGAAATTGGATGTCTACAAACCCTTGGTTGTCGCCCATACCGTACTTTTTGCTAAGGCTTGGCGTCGCCACCAGTCTTCATTGCGTTCTATGTGACAGTCCTTGCGCTTAGACAGCATTATCATCTGAGCCATAATAATGTACAATGAGT